AGTCAGCAATTCTAGTGTAGTGTATACTATATTAATACAGTAAGTATGTTTATGAATATTGTTTCAGAATTGGTCTGTCCTTGCTGCTTTCCTAGGGCTGAGGGATAAGGACTGGTCCAGGTTCACCCAGCTGGCATTGTGCCCAAGGCAAGACCAGAACTCAGTCTTTTGGTTGCTAGTCTGATGCCTTCACCACTAGCCAAATTGGCTGTATCTCTTATGAATTCCACAATATTCATAAACATACTTACTGTATTAATATAGTATACACTATACTAGAATTGCTGACTTTTTGTCTTTGCTATACAAGTAGTCCTTGATTTATGACCACAATAGAGTCCAGGATTTCTGTTGCTAAGCGAGACATTTGTTAAGTGAGTTTTCCCCTTTTTACGATTTTTCTTGCCAGTTGTTAAACGAATCACTGTAGCTGTTAAGTTAGTAACGTGGTTGTTATACTTTCTGACTTTACCACTAGGTGGCAACAACACAGTATTTGCATATTCATTTTACATTAGAGCGCCTTCACAAATTTTTATTTTCTGAATTTCTTCATAATAGTAGTATCCCAGATTTGTCTTATTGTTGCTTGTTCTTTCAGGTTTACATTTAGAAAATATTAGAGACAAGGAAGTGGAACACAATTAATTGTAGTCAAATTTTTAGACTAAGTAGCATTGATCTTTCTTAATACTTACATTTTTTTCTCCTTGAGATACTGATCTTTATATATTCATATTATTATTTTATTAAAAATGTAGAAATAAAACTTTAAGGCAACATCCCAATTGGGCATGGTATTGGCCGGGTGGAGGGCACAATGACAACATGAACATGACAGTGGATGATTTTTGTACGTGTATCAGATGTCCCGAGAGAAGTGAGCATTTTATGTAATTGTGGCATTTGTACGATTACCCAATCATACCTGACTTCATTTCAGTATCATGGTTTGCATGGATGCTATTGCTTGTAGCTTTAATGTAACATTAAAGCACATAACACCATCTGTTATTGCATTTACATTTAACACAAGTGTATAATTTGGATTGTCTTATTTGAGAACTAAAATGTCTTGGACCAACTGGACAACAGGAGTGAGTGTATAATTCAACAATCAGATAGTCCCAGGTTAGGAAAAATTGTTATGTCAACTGCTGCTGCCCAAGACTAACAAAAGAAGGGCCAAATAACTATTGTCTCAACTGTAAGGGGGGAATAGAATTTATGTTTATTCTTCTCTGTTCTCTGCCAGCCTTCCGACAAGAAAGTCAATGGGGAAGCCATCAGGAAGTCAAAAATGGCAATCACACGTTCACAGGATACTGTGACTTGCACAAGATCCCCTATTGATGGCAACTGTGACTGTCTCACAACTATTATTGTAAACTGGTGTAGTCATATGGCATCATGCTTTATAACAGTATCACCGAGGGATGAAGTTGCTAGCCCCAATTATTGTTGTTAAGTGAGGACTACCTGCATACCTACCCAATTTAAATCAGCATCCTATTGTTTGTTGCCCTTTCTTCTCTCCCTCAAATTTGTGCATTTCCTATAACGAAAAGATGAATAAAAGTGCAAACATCATATAGATTAAATTTGAAAAAAGCTTGTTCTTAAATCTTTCACTCATAATTTTGTTATTTCATTTCTACAAATGAACATAGTACAAAGGGAGTCATAAGGATTTAATAATAATATAATAAAATAATAATAATAATAATATATAATATAATAATAATAATAATGCCAATGCTGACCCTTGCCCTCTCCCATACATATGTGTTCACAAGGAAAACCTTTCCAAGAAAGTATTTACAACTTTACAACATGTGAGCATATCTTGGATCAGCCCTTATAAATAGCATTTACATATTAAAATAAATATTTTCACATTGCCAAAATAGCATAAGCCGTTTTCTTCATTATTTAAAAAATATGTTACAAAACAATATCATTAATTTTATATTTCTTGCTTATTTCTTTTGAAAGTCAAGTAATAAAATCATTTCATAAAACAATACAAAAGTAAATTGAATACACGGTAGATCCATTTGTAGCCGCTGTGCTTTGTTTGTACAGTATCTTACATGGAGAGCTGCTGGCTCCAGGAAGTCCTCGTGGTCGTATCTTCACTTCTGATGGGAGAATAATTCAATGCTCCCACCCATTTCCAAAGTCACTCTATGGCCTAGAAATGCCTTGGAAATGATAAAATGCACGAAGGCCCCTATGGGTTCTTGAGGCTGGAGTTTCTAGGCACCCGTTACTTCCTGTAGATTGTCCTTGTGAACGTACTGCTTGGCAGTAATGTGGAGGTAATGCTTCATTTAAGTGGGTAGATGAGATTCTGTCCATTTGATCCTGATAGACTAATTGTGCAAGAGCTATGTGCGTTAGTTCGGCTACTTGTCTCTGTAGATGTTTATGTGCTGTACGTGAGCAAAGAAGGCAGAAAGTTTGGGTGTCTAAAGTCAAGCCGTTGTCCTTAAGAGAATACACTTCTAGCTAGCACTGCTCAGCATCCCTAGAAGTTTACTGGGCTCCAACCCTTGCTGCTGTGCCATCTTCTGCACATCAAAACCCATATGCATGAGAAATTGGATCACATTCATCTCTTGGCCAGTGTATTGGTCCCGGATGGTAGGGCATGATGGATTACAATGTGGCCATGGGCAGCTGTCAATCAGATGGACTGGGCAGCCTTTTAACGGGGCTTTCCCATTCTTATTGCTGTCATGTAGACTGCGATCCCAGCAGTGCAGAGCTCGGGGCAAAGAGGTCCCTTTCACTTGGATGTCTGTCCAATGACTGAAAAAGCAATCCATACAGATGAAAGTATGTTACAATTTGCATGTTTCTTATAGGTGACTAATCACCGGGTAGGCATAACTTCAAGAGAGCCCGCTAACATTAGAACTTCCACTTCTGAACACTCATGGGGTCATATGAGGTAGCAACCAAAGAAAAGAGCTGTCAATATTCGATCTATCGGAAACATACTGGACAATGTATGAGAATCAAAGCAATACAGAATCAATTTAGACAGGTTACTAGAAGTTTCTAAAGATGGATTATCTGCTTTGTATATATCATTTATATGCTCAAATTATAGTTTTCTAACATTCTAGAAAGTCAGCAGTATTCCAGAGAAGGAGAGGCAGAAATTCGGTTTCTGGATTTTACTTTTTGCTCTCTGTTCCCAAGACAGCTCAAGATCCACTGACATTTTATTATAAAACAGTTACTCAGGGTAGACACCGAATTGCAGGATGCAAAACAAGGGAGCCTTCTGAAACCAGTCATTTATTCTCAGTATCAAAACTATATTTAGTCTTTTCAGAGAAAAAGATCAATCCTGTCCACCCCACTTTTTCTTGTATTTAGCAGCCTGATTAAAAGGCGTTGGGTAATTTATGTCACCTCTCCTATTCATAAATGCTTAAAAATATAAATTGCCCAGAAATCTACAAACATACTTCAGATTTTAATTTATTTTCTGCTCACTGCTGATTTAGCCAGTCTTTCTTAATAAATAATTATTGTCTTTCATTCGATAGAGAAAGAACCCCTGAAGGATTAGAGCATACACAGAGTGTAACTTAATCCAGCCTTTGTTAAATTGCTGTTGAGAGAAGCTCCATTGTAACCTAACGTGCCAACTTCATAGATCAAACTTCTAGGCGAATTGCCAAACTTAGCAAAGTAACTACTTGTGAAAAGTTTAAAAAAAAAAAAGTGAAATAACCTTGCTTGCAACTTGAAATGTGTGTTCAGCATTCCCTAACAAAGCTCTGTCTTATATGCCAGAAAATGTATTTCTTTCCCCTTCTAAAGTCTATTGTTTTCAGCACGCTGAGAAAAATCATGAGGTTTGTGTAACATGAAATAATGTTTCTAGCACTATGACGATCTGTACAAGCTGTGCAAAGACTATAAGAAGTTTGACAAGAACTTTTTTTTTCATGACTGGACGGTGAGGCTTGTGCCTGTTTTTTTTCTCTCTCTATGCCTGCTCTGTTAAGGTGGGAGACAAAAATGCCGTCAAGTCTTTTTGCTTTCTGCAGAAAATAAAAAATTGATTCTCAGTAACCTCGTATTCAGAGTTTCATTGGAATTATCAGATTCTGAGCTGAATTCAAAAACCTTACAATAGAGAAGAAGTGAGAAAACAGGAAGGTGCATCTTTCCACTCTACGTACTTACTTGCGTGTTATGATCTCATGAGACAAACAAGCTGGAGCAAAGCTGGCTCTGGATCAGAAGAGGGGAAAAGTCATAAAATCAGTGTGATAGAAAAAGGAACATTTTGAGATATCTTTTTTAACAACTTTGAGTTTTTTCATAGTAGAATTTAGGCATCTTGCTGCAATAAAGATACCTATATAAGTTGCTAGGTGCAGGAAGCTTAGATCTCAGACCTGAATTGCTTTGAAGCACTGTTCTTAATATACCATACAGTAGCTAAGACACCAAAGATTTAATTTCATTATCTCTTGTCACTGGGTATTATGAATACTTCTGTCATGAGAAAGCAACTGAATCATATGACAGCAGTATAAAGCCACTGTCCTTATCTTAATTTTAACACAGTAAAAGGCCTGAGATGCACTGCTGACTCCCACTAACAGCAATACAAACAAACAAGTTTAACCATACATATCTAGTGTTTAATAATGTGACATATCACTGAAAGATAAAATTCTTAGATCCCAGGAAAGGAAATTTCCTTAAATGGAAAGGAAATTTCCTTAAATGGAAATTTAAAAACATGAAACAAAACTAACATCACATCCTTGAGAGTATTCCTCAATTCACGGCCCAGATTTTGGATATAAATCCACTGTCCTTCCTGTACAGGCTGGCCAGTCAAATGTACATTGTCCACAGTGAGTTGAGCTTCATCAAACAGCCACTGCACCACAAAAACCGGACCTACACAAAGAGGAATTTAGTACCAATAACATCATCAATAGGGCTATAAACTTACTGGCTTAAGTGATAAACTAAGCAAGCAAGAATGGATTAGATTTCTTAGTATGTGGAAATTTTAGAAAGAGAAACAAAAAATTAAGGATGAATTTTGGTATATTCTGTTATGTCATGTAACATTTTCTTGTGCATTTACTGTTAAAAACATTTTTATCTAATCACATGGTAGTCTTTATTTGCTAAATTGTAGATGTTTCTTGAAAATTATTCCACATTAAAACAATCTTGCATCATCAAACACATCTTATTTATACTGAAGTATTAAAGTAATATGAATATTTATTTATATTCAACAAATAAATTGTAAAAATCACATAATTAGCTAAATCAAAACATTTACCTGGCTGACAATACTAGCAAGGCTTAATAATAACCACTTAGTATTAATTATACAGATAAGGGGAATTTGTCTGAAATGCATTTCAGCAACAGGCCTTTTACTGGCACACTTACATCGGAGAGTAGGATAAATTTTATAGCCAAAGAAACAATTCCATTCTTCTCCTTCTCTAAACTGCATTTTGCAGCGTTCAGGAACAAGTCCATGCCAATATCTGAGAGTTTAAAAAAAATAGCTGGAGTTAATTATTCAAATCCATTCTACTAGAAATAGTTAACTATGCTGTATAGAATATCTGGGATTGAGAGGCAAGAACATGTAAATCATGAGGGGTCCTTGGTGCTCTCTGAGCTTGCTTGTCTTCTTGCAGTCCTAGCACTGATGATATTGCCTACTTTGAGTAATGAAATGTCTGCAAGAAAACAAGCAAGCTCAGAGAGCACCAAGGCCCCCTCACATGAAACCTGAGCTACAAATGTAAATTCCAAAAACAGTGGACAGTAGAGGGCAGACAAACCACACATTGAAAATGTCTATTTATATTTCAAAAGTTAAAGGGTAAAGTTTTCCTCTGTACTGCTGAGTCTGACTCTAGGGGGTGGTGTTCATCTTTGCTTCCTAGCTGAGGGAGGCAGCAACCTCCAAAGACATTGGTTTGTGTGCTCATTTGGCTAGCATGACTATACATTGAAGACACATGGAATGCTGTTACCTTCCTACCAAAGTGGTAGCTATTTATCTACTCACATTTGCATGCTTTCGAACTCCTAGAATGGCAGGAGCTGGGGTGAGAAAAGGAGTTCACTCCATCGTGTGGTGCTTGCTGGAATAAAGACACCTTCGGTTTCTCTGTCTATTGACAGATTACTAGAATGTCTACTATGTACTTTCTACACAGTCCCATTTCATGAATATTACTTAGCAATCTCTGAAGACTGTAGCTCATGTTAACTATCAAAGGAAAGTCTCACTGGATGTCTCACTCCAGTTTTAGATTTCCAGGAAAGATGTTAAAAACTTCAATACCTAATTCCTCTCCTGATGGCTTCTGTGGGGGCGCAGGTTATGGTATCAATGCAGTCTGTCCTACGATATTGTTTATTATCCAAGAACCAGCCAGAGTCTGCAAGGCCACGGACCTGAATCCCAGGATATCCCAGCTCTTCCAGCTGTTCAGCCACTCGATCCACATTCAAGAGGACTCCTGTTCCACCAGCGCTGCAATGACAAGTCAAGTCCTTTGAAGCAGAACTCCTCCGCTTGATTGTCTGAAGAACCATGGCTTGTAAGCAAGGTCTACATGTCGCATCAATTAACGTTAATGAAATACCAAGTTTAATTGCTTATTCATTTGTCCATTCCTTGGGCGATTTACAATGCATTAAAAACCACACAAATTTGGAATAAATTTAAAATGCAATAATTAAAATACATCAGATAAAGAGAAGTCGGAATAATTAGCAAGTTTCTAAGAAGCTGTTAAAGAATTGATTTAACAATAGCTGAGTTGTATCTTTTACTTTAAAATGTTGCTTCTATTAGGTCTTTTTCTATATTTACTTTTGAAATGTTTTAATAACATCCTTTTCCAACCCATACACAAGCATACATTTACTAGACGTGTTTTCATAAACAGACATATACCTGCTTCCTGCCAACAGCAACACCTTGGCATTTCCAAGGCCTTTCCCCAATAATTCCTTTACAACTTCTTGTATGATAAGAGCACCCATGAAGACAAATTCATCTGTAGGAGGAGAAAGGTGGGGAGACGAAAAACAATCATAGTAAGTAAAACTGGCTAACATTTTTTGCCATTCCTATTGAAGGTATGGAGTAATGAATATTGAAAAGTATACTTTTCATACCATAAATTTCCAATGAGCGTTCAGTGGAAAAGTAAGCCTAGCAAATATTGCAAGTCATTTACTAAGTTTCAGATCTAAATTCTTTAATTTCTTTGTTGAGTGTGACAAATGGAACATTCTCCCCCTTTCATGTTCTTTAATGTTTAGGACTAGTTTTCTGAACATTTATTTGACCTCCCAAGTATATGTTTGATAAGCTGAGCAAAGAAAGAACAAAATTTTGAGAAAAGCTTCTTTAAAAAATAGCAGTGAGATGGACTTCTATCCACAGCAGGGAATCTGAATTATGGTAAATATCTCTCCTGTTTCAGGAAAGCAGAACTTGTAGCCCTTCAAATATTGCTAGACTTCAACTCGCAGCATCTCTCATCTTGGCCCTGATAGCTTCAATAGCTGGGAGCTGACGTTCAGCAGATCCAGAAGCTACGAGTTCCCCATCCAAACAATGGAAGAATAGAACAGAGGACAGAAAAAAGTAGCATCTGTGAGAAGGTCCTGTTGAGAAAGATTGTAATATGCTTTGGCAATTGCTAGTCTCTGCTTCCACCTAATCTGCATCCAACTCCAGGAGATTTCTATTTTTTCCCCCCTGCTAGAATACCTAGCACATGATCGCTGCTGAGACCAAATGTTACTATTGGAAATTGGAACTGATTCATAGAACATCTCAAACTATGATTTAGCAAAAACCAACAACAACCTGCTCTTCCATACTGTGTAAAGTCTTTACAAACTACAGTGGCTAGATTCACAAATAACTCTATGCCGGAATCAAACCAGCTATATACTGACTGCAACATGTGGGCCAGGCTAATGTACTTTACATTTTTTTACCTTAAACAATAAAACTAGTAGACCGAAGAAGAGAAATTCAGTTTCAATCAATTTCAAATGATGACCTTCCATCAACATAAAGGATAATGTCTTATGATGAAAGAGAAGTGTGTCCTAGAGAAGTAAGATTACATCCTATTGTAGAAAGTAAAATAGAAATGTATGTAGAGAAATTGTTCTTGAGGTGACATTAGCAAGGAAACAAAGACAGTCAGGAGGGTGTCTTTTCATTTTTTGCATGAAAAACAACAGAGGGGCTTGTCGTACCATACATCAATCTGCATTTAAGGCAACACTGAAGATGTCAGAAGTTCCTTAATTGTTTTCCATACAAAAGGAAAACTGGGAAGATGGTCAGTCCCAGTTCTCTGTATAATGTATGAAGTTCATGATTGTAAAGTATTTGGCCACCATGCTGCTCTCTCAAGAACAACTACCAGGGAAAATTACAAAATTAAGGATGCAAGGATGGGAACAATATTCCTAGTGTAATGTGAGGCAAACTCTTCCTTAGGGGAATTAAGGCAGTTAAATTTACTCATCCTCTCAATATTGGTAAACAGAAAACTTCCACTATTACTGTCCCTGAGATCAACCCAAATAAAAAAATAACTGACTGAAATAAAAATATTGGTTTTTTTTCTATACAGCTTTTCCTTTTAGATTAGAAATCTTTCATTTAATTAGGTAGGATTGTGAAAACTAATATTCTTTATACAAGATCAATAGTAGTGATATCCAGGAATCTGGGGTGTCAGTTACTGACACCAAATGGAAGCTAGGCATCCTGAGTCAAATATAACATTTTGGAAAGAGAAATACAAAAGGTCCATGTTTTATTTATTGAGTCAGTTATGTTAAAAAGTCCCAACTGCCCGAAGCTCTTCTTTAGTCAGTCAAGAGAGCAAATGTTTCTTTGTCACTTATGTCAACATCTTCCAGACGGATGTTTCTGGCCACACAGTGCCTTCCCGTGCCATATCTGTGATAGATCTAAATGAGGATGGCCCTCAAGCGCATGCACAGATATCAAGAACTTTCTCGATTCCATTTGGAAGTCCTGGCGCAATTTGGTCTTTCCTTATTTCAAGTTTAGCTAAATGAAACAGTTGCTCAGACCCTTGAGATGCAACCATTTGCTTCAGGCTGTTGCTCGGTTACTCCCATGTGGGGTTCTGAACCGTGACAAAGCAGGGCTTGCAAGCGGATGCATTATCTAGAGGATATTTATTATTTCTTCCTGCCCGCTGGCGAGAATCCTTTCTTCCTTTGCACAACTGTGGAGAATTCAGGCCAGATTCCCTTAATGCATAATGCCTGTTTGGCAGCAAGAGCCTGTCAGAAGCACTCACTTTTCTCAGTTTTGGCAGAGGCTCCACTCCAGACATCACTTGAGCAATATGGGATGAAACTGCAAGAGAACAGATGTCCTTGAGCACCAATATTCTTTTGATATGCATGGAGGGGTAAGACAAGAGTAAAAGTCCAGCAAATTAAATCCTAAGAGCGATAAGAGAAAATCGTTTAAGCTCGGCTCACTCAGATCTGATGGTTACCAGCATTTTATACAACTGATATCCCAGGGCATGAAGCATCAAAGAAAAAATAATAATAAAATGAAAATTTTTCTAACATTTGGAGCTAAATGCCAGGGAGCTACAATTGGTCAAAGTTTAGTGCTTTTCCAATACATGTTTAATAATAGAACCTTTATTTTTATTTTTATGGCAAGCATGGAAAATGTTCAGTAATTATAAAACTCTCATAGATCTGCATGGCAAATGCCACTGTTCTGATTTTCTATTTCTATTTTCCCCTGTATTGTGCTCCATTGAAGCTATCAACACAATATTAGTTGATAACTACACATTAATTAGTCTAGATGCTTTTTGAATTAGAAATTACTCTTGGTCAAAGAATGTCCCTGCTGTCTATAAAACCAATGCCACACAAGGAAAAAAATATCCCAATGAATAGAACAGCCATTCTAATTCTTATCAGCCATTCTAACATCATTTAAATACATACAGACACTAGCTCCCAAGTGGGTTTTCAGATTAACGGCTATCCTCTGATATTTGCTTTTATTCCTCAAGTCTGCTCTCCAACCATTCTAGCCGGAAGTTCTATTTACATGGGACTGATTCCTTTTTAAAAGGCTTAGTATGAATTTATTTGCTGGAGAAACTCTGGGTATGTTTTGCTAAGAACTAACACCAATTTGATGGCACATAATCAAAATACATTTGTTGGGTCAGTTATTACTATGATATAAAATATCTAAGACTACAGTTCATCAGGGGAGTACAGACAGAGAACGAAATCCATCCTCACTGGCTTCTTCATTATGGCCAAGCCATTCTGCATTAAAGACCTAGCAGTAGTACTTTCAATACAGCCCTGCACGGAGGAGTGCAAAGGTCTCAGGCTAATATTATTTTTGCCTTCTCACTTACCCACCTACATTACTTCTGCCTTGCTGGCATGAATCAGGCAGAACTTCAAATCTGACCATCAGGATTTTCCCTCACTGTTGTCTTTGGATTGTTTTCGAAGACTTTCTTAATGTACTAACAATCCATTCTGTTTCGTCATTATTCTCATTTATTTTCATTTGCAATTTCTACTCCTGCTTTCTTTATAGCAGTGGTTCTCAACCTGTGGGTCAAGATTCCTTTGGGGGTCGCACAACTCTTTCACGGGGGTCGCCTAAGACAATCGGAAAACACATATTTTCAATGGTCTTAGGAACCGAGACACCAATTTTATGGTTGGGGGTCACCACAACATGAAGAACTGTCTTAAAGGGTCATGGCATTGGGAAGGTTGAGAACCACTGTTTTATAAGAACATTACAACTTGCAAACTCTGGTCCTTTGTTTTTTCATATGCAGGCTAAGTTCTCCTTTCCCCTAGTTTACTATTCTTCTATTTTGTTTATTTTTGCTTGACTATTCCATTCAACTCCTACACCTGTTTATTCTACTTACACCATATTTGCATTCCACCAGTGAGGATTTTCTTCTGGTTGTGATGACAAAATGCCTGTTCCTATAGATGGAGAAAAATATACATACTAACACATAGAGAAATATATCCTTCATGCAAAGAACATAGAACATTCAGCATTAATTCAATGACAGATGGTAAAAAACAACAACATTTGTAGGTATATATGCCAGAGTATCTGAAAGGATGTGAGGTTCACAATGAAAACTTTCAGACTAGGATAGGAAAATATTAGATTTAATACTTCATTTTTGTACTTCGTGTATACAAAAATAGAACCTATATCACTAATGTTTGAAATATTTCTTCTTTTTGGTCTAAACAGATAAGCTTAGATAGTGGAAAACCTAAACACGTATATATAGTTAAAATGTAAATTCAGCATGTTTATGGACCCTTATTCTCAGATATGTTTTGGATGGACTACAGACTCTAAAAGTTTTAGAAGTAAATAACACAGACTCATCTAAGCAATGGAACAAAGGAAAATTACAGCATTCTGAGTACTTTGAGCATAACTGATTATTAAGCTAGGCATTACGTTGCTAACACTGGGAAGAAGTATTGGTGAGCCAACAAAAGTTAACCAATCTCCATTTCTGAACCAGAGCTTTGTTCTATGATAACTAAACATGCCATAAAAGGACAGCCAATAATCTCTTGGGGATCTGCCCACAAAGAAGTGCCTTCTCCAACTTTCATGAACATCAATGTAGGTATTGGAGCCATAAAGGCTGGGCAGTCCTGAAGAGATCTGTAATAAAATCTATTTATTAGGCCAGTCTGCATATCTTAAAAGGCATCTCTTTTTTTAACAGTTCATTACAAATCCCTATAATTAATGAAAGAGGAAAAAGAGGGTATTAATGCTGCCCACTTTGCTGAAAATGCAAACGTTTACTATGTGGTGGGTTATCTTCCCTCTAAGAGTCAATGTCACTACAAAATCAACCACGCTGAAACTTTTTAAAGTAACTTTTTGTTTTATTAATATCATCTGGACAGATACAGATTTCAGCCAAAGAAAATAATTTAGTTTTTCCAAACTGTCCTCCAGATCCTCCGATAATATGTCCAGTGCAGGCTGAGGATAAGGTGAGCTTTGTGGTATCCCAACATCTTTACCCAGCACCAAATAGAGAAAATGATGCAAACAATGAACTGTTCTTCTAGATATAGGTATAGGTATACCTCATTTTCATGCCACTTTTCCATCTAGATGTTCTCAAAATGTATATAGGAGTATAATAAGAGAAATATATAGCCAAATAGCACCACAAATAAATAGCAATTTTGTATGTGGATATTTCATTTAGGGGTATAATCTAAAATGGATTATGACTTTCTATGAAGAGGTGGGGATTGAAAGAAATTGATCTTTTACTTTATCTAAAAGCCCTGTTGCTTCATACCAATATTGGCAAAAGGGTAATTAGATCCCTTTTCCCCTCTTGCTTCACTTCTGTAACACACATTCCGGAATCTGCATGTGGTGCAGCAAAAGCGGGGATACATTTGTCTAGTTATTACTCTCACTCCTTCCAGAGTCAGTTAGAGATGTGATTAATATTGCTCTCTAAAAAAAAATCAGATTAAGCCCTTCTTGCAGCAGAAGTGTCAAAACGTGATTGTGTAATCTAAGATTGTCATTTCTATTCCACACCATTCTGGAGGACAGGAGATCATAGATTTAAGTTATGGAGGGGGGCAGCTTCTGATTGAAAAAAATAACAACAGTGGAACCAATTACAATGGTCAATGGAACCAATTAATCAGAGAGGTGGTGGTCTTCCTTTTACAATATCTGTCAACAATATATCAGTTTGAATTACTACTCTAAGCAGAGATTTAATAATTCAATGGCTCTAGGATTCTACTCAAATATTTCTCGTTCTCTTAAATTTATAGAAGAAGATCCGCTTTGCAAAGAATGAAAAGGAGATTTTGCATTGGAGGCCTCTTTCTATTAAAATTCAAAATAATTACATGCATTATTTTGATTCTGGTGTTACCTGTTTTTTTTTTTTTTTTAAAAACCTCAGTGTAAATGCTAAATGAATAAACCAAGCGTTATTTAT